TTCCTGCTACCAAGGCACATAGCTGGTCTATGTTCAGCTGCTCAGCAGGTCCCTGGGGCCATTTCTGCAGAACTGCTCCCCAGCCTGGGCTGCTGTGTGGGAACTTCCTTCCCAGAGGTAGCACTTTGCATTTACCCGTGCTAAATGTCCTAAGGTTGGTGTTCCTTCCTAGGCTGCCCTGAATGGCAGCTCAATTCTCCAGAGTATCCATTTGTTTGCTTTATTTGGTGTCATGTGCAGATTCAGTGAGGGTGAATTCCATTCCCTCCTCCAGGTCACTGACAAAGATGTTAAACAGGATGGGGCCTGGAAGAGACCCTTGTGACACTCCAGGTACATGTGACCTGTCAACCACTACTCTCTGAGCCTCTGTTCTCCCCTTTTTCACAAATCCACTCTTTTTATCACTGTTAACTGCTTTTATTTTTTTTAATCAAGAAAAAATACATAAAGCTTTTCTTTCCAGATTTGGTCCCATTGACTTTGTTTTTGCTACCATAAGGCTTCACAGTAAGAAGAACAGAGTCTGCATCCTGTAAGCAATATAACACAGGTTTGGTTTTATTACAAATGGATTTTCAGTACTTGCCTCATCATGAGCTTACTTGAATAGAGACTAACAGCTATGCACTACATAATCCTGGAATCCTTAGCATTAACTTAAATTTGGGGATTCGTTTAATGTCTGATAAAGTAACACATGACTTGCCACTGCTGACTCAGGACTTTTACCTTTTAACGTTAAGTGCCTGAATATAATGAAAAAAATATATTTAGTGAACTTCAGTACAACAACTTATCAGTTAGATACCTGTAGGCTGAAAAATTGTAACATTAATGCTTGAACAGTGTTTGGTATAAAACATTTTTTTACAAAATACTATGAATTACAAAATATATTTTTTTCGCTGCAAACATTTTCCAGGTTTTAACTTTGGAAGTCAGATGTCTATGCAAATAGGAAATTCATTCTGGCTGCCCATGACTCTGTTAAGTTCTGTTAGACCTGCCTGGCATAACACGTAGTTTTACTCCAATGCATTCAATGTGTTGCATTTAGAGTTTAGAATGTTTTTGGAACATTCCAAAGGATTTTGATAAGGCTTTTTCAGAATCAGTATGAATCTCAATCTACAACATTTTCCTGTTCCTGACTTAAACCCGTTATTCTCCCTTATGTTCTTGGCATTACACATAAAATATCAACGCTGTATAATATTACTGCAATCTTTCATTAACTGAAATCTTAAAGATCACATTTCATTATTTCTCTCAGACAGACTGTTGCATAACATGAAGGATCAAGGTCAAATGATATATGAAGAGAGATGTTTAAATCATTCAGATGGTTCTCCTCAATTTTGATCCCTTTTTCACTGCCTTCCAAAAAATATGACAGATTCTGAACATTTTTCAAAATGGGTCTGTAGCATCCAGGTATATTCAGCTGTAATGAAGACACTCTGAATTTGCACATCTCCAGCTCATCTTTAGAAAGTCTTTCATGGTACCACTGCCCAACTTTATTACTGGGATATTTGATGCTATGTCCCACCATTGGAAGAACCACCTTCAAAGAAGAAAAACAAACAATTAACATATAAAATTATTTGAAATAAAGTTCACCTATTCCCCTTTAGATAAATGTGATAACAATTTCAAATGTGTTTAAACCTTGTGTTTTGGGGCCTGAAATAGAAAACCAGCAGCTTCTCTTGTGAAATAAATAGCCATGCATGACAGGTATCTTGTATGTAATTAAAGCAGAAAAAATAATTAATGTCTTAAGATTCCTAAAACAAACTAAAAATATACTAACGTTAATTTTCTTGCTTGTTGGGAAAGATACAGCAATAAAGACTTTCAACTGCCATGTAGTCAGTTGCCATGTAAGACTTCTCAAGTACACACCCTGAATCTTCAAAAATTAAAACATCAACTGCTCTTGAAAGTTATTCCCCGTAGACTGAAAAATTTTTCAGAGTATTCAGCTTCATGATAAATATTGTCATACTGCAAATGACACTGTACTTATTTCCATTACAAAGTAAATTTATTATGAGAGTGGTGATTAGTTGACATGTGGGGTTTTTTTTAAAATGTGCACTCTGGCACAGAAGAAGACTGTACTAGTCAACTAAATCACATTATATTTAAAACAAAACATTCTAATTAAATAAAGAGATCAACAACTCAGAATTTTTACTACAGACTTACTTGGTACATAGAATATTTGTTAGCTGACTCTTCTGAAGCAGTGACCACATGAACCTGACAAGACATTTAAGACGTTAAGAAAATAAAAGCCCAGCTTTTTAAAAAGTAAAAACACTTCTTTATTTTAGGAATTATGCACTGTACTCTCAAACTCGTAAAGGATTCTAAGGTTATTTGACTACTAGAAGGACAATAAACTATTTTAGGTATGAAAAAATCTTAAGAGATGCTTAATATAAAGTCATCTCTTACTGATGAATAGCATTGCATTAAATATTTACTGATGCTAGTTACCACTAGTATCCTTTGAGTTTAATGTTAACTTAGTCAATGCAGCCTTGTGCTACATCAGCAAAAGCATTATATACCATGTAGGCTAAATTCTCACATGTATCAATTCTGACATTCTGTTGCTTCTTCTTACTTGAACAAAATGAACAGTCAAAACAGACAAAAGTTGCCAATATACATTGGCTTATATGTCTATCTATGGTAAAACCCCAAAAGAAACTACACCACATTTTTCAACTTTGCCACTAATATTAAATATTTTAATGAATGAATAAAATTCAGTTATTGGAGTATGTCTGAGTATGTATTCAAGTGCATTATGTTGGGTTTTGGGTTTTTTTTCTTTCAAGAACTACTTTGGGAAGACTCACCTTGTCATTCACGGAAATACTTTCATCATTTTCTTCCAAGAAGACAAGGTCACCCTCAACCACTTTTGAGCCATAAATCTTCAGCCTATATGATGCTGCTTCATTCCAAATTTTACTGCAATAAGCATGGACATAGAATATGCGCAAAGAATGAGGAATACTGAGCCATCCTTTGGTACAACCTTCATGATTTACACCATAGCGATTTAAAGCTCGTAGCAACATCTTCTCTCTTACTTTAAATTCTGGCAGCATCACAAGTGTGCCCTTTGCATCTTCTGACATAAACAGAAATAACCATGTAAGTATCCCTATTTCTCAAATATTACCTGTCAGGAAAAAAATACACTTAAGAAGATGAAGTAATCAAGTAGGGATAAAAGATGTCAGTCCAAACTCTCTATGCTCACTTCTGGTTATTATTTCCTTTTCTTCAATGTGTCATGTTAGACAAATTTAATCATATATGCCCATGAATTTTACTCTGTTTCATGCAATATCAGTTAAACTAGCTGTCATTCAGTTATTCAGTCTTGTTTACCTTAATTTTTTTTTAGAAACTTACTTTATCATTCCAAAAGCTTTTTTTTTTTTTGGATCAGGGAACTGAAGCAAAAACTAAACTATAAAAGAACATTAAACCTCTACTTTGCATCATTTGAGAACATGTATTTCACAGGGGGTAAAAGCCACATCTTTATTTTAAAGGTACCGATTGCATTAACCACTGGAAAAGTCTGAGCATCAACCAAGATGAAAATACATTAAATCAGATTTGTAATACATTATATAAATGTCCCATATTTAAAATTTTATGGTTTACATATTTTGCCATTACATATTTGACATATTTTGTGGATTTTAGTTCAAGACAGCAAGAGAGTAGAATCATCAAGGGCTGAGTATGAGTTGGGTGCCTCATTCCTATATACTTCCCTATAAAGAGAAGTTTATATCCCAAAAGTAAACAGTTGGAAGGAGGCTTAAACTGCTCTGATAAAATTATCTTAGTCTTCTCCAGCATTATGATATGCAGCTCTTGCTTCTAGACTGTCTTGCACCTGAAGCACATTCACTTTCCGCTATTTTGCACATGTAGAGCCTCATCCTCACCTAATTTTTAAGTATGCTACTATAATGAGTTCTGAAGAATAAGGTATAATTGGCATAAATAAAAAGCATCTCCCAGTGCAGCAGCACCTTATTCCCTCACAATACTGCCCTGAATAAATACATAGACAATTTAACTGGACATACCAGTTTGAAGGAAATATCTTTTTGCATTGTTCACAGGATCATCAGTATCTTCAGGTGTGAAGAATAACTTCACAGCTTTCACCTGTAAAGAACAATATTAATTAATTTTTTTTGCAGTTACATTTAACTATTTTTCAACTAAATAATCATGCATCTAGTTGTGTCTTAAGATATTCTGCAAGCTCTCAAAACTATATCAGTTCTTTAAGGTCAAACTAGAATTCTCCCTCTCGCTGAAGATGCCATGAACTGCAAAACAATGTGTTGGGTTCCTCTAAAGACAGGTTTTAGTCACCCAGAAGACACAGGACAGTTCTCAAAGCTCCATGAGAAATCAGCACTCTCATCTAGTTAAAACTTTAAATTGCCATCATTGTATCCTGAACAGAAAAGTTCCTTCTTTCCCTTCTGCATGCTTCACGCTTCATTTGGACTGAACACTTTCCAGTCTCACACAGAGGGACAATGACCATTGAGGGTGTTTTTTGATACTGATCTGTATCAGGTGAGATGACACAGTGACAAGGAAAACACTGCAGTAACCTCTACTACTTGCAACATCAGTGGTGCTGCTCAATTTGCTAGCACTTGTACCAGTCTGTGGCACCTGGTTCTTGTCCTCCTCTGTGTTGGACTGTGCAAGCACGTGCTGGCACATTTTTTATATAAACAGTAGTTCCTGCCTGTTTTATATTAAAAACTAACTGAGTTAAGACTAGAGATTTAAATCATTACTCTTCATGGACTGGCACCTGGTACCAACTGCTAGCATACCAGAACTTAAAACTTCAGATACATCAACAATAACTTTTATGGGCTGCTCTCAAATCTTAATTCTTCTTCTATTTGGAGGATACGTTTTCCTGACTTTTCTAAGAATCAAAACAAGATTAGAAGAAAAAGATACTCAGGTGTTCATTTGACTTTGTAGCGTCCGATTTGGCTTTAGACCTGTGCCAAGTGCTGTACCATATACATTGAAAAGTACATTACTCTTATGAATTATGACTTAAGAAAGAAACTCTCCTTAGCTTACATGTGAGCAATCACTCAGAACTGAGAGTTTGGGAAAGTAGCCAAGGAATAATGGAAAGCAGCAATCTCTTCTATATAGCAGATAAACTACCATGGTATTGAAAAAGCAAATCCTTTCTTATGAACCTGTGTGACATTTTTAAGAAGTAAACAGACCCCCAGCAGGACAAAGAGGCCACAAGTTAGGAGGCAATCATGACTGAATAAACGTTGTATAAAGACCACTTCATTCCAGTGTTCAAACCCTGCATGGAACGCAACCACTTTCCTGCCAAGTGGCATGAGGACAATTGCAATCACATTCCAGTCACAGACAGAAAAATCATTTCCTGAATTACTTAAAGCTGCACCTACTGTTTAATAAAAGATTATTTTTTTGTTTCAGTATGAAGATCTTCATGCTACTGCTGTTTTCAAAAACGATCTGGCAATGGCTTCCAGCACACAGTTGGGTTTATCTCACAACTGAAATTGTTCACTAGGAAGGTCAACTCCAGTGCCAGACATTGCAACAGTAATGTGAAATTGATTTGACAGTAGCTACTTAAATTACAAAATGAATATACCATTTTTTCAGTCAGTAAAGCCAATCCAATCTGATCTGTCTGAACAATTTGTCCTTGTCCAAATCGTTGAGGTCCATAATAATTGACAAAACCTTTTGTCTAGAATGATAAAGAATAAAGATGTTAAAAGCATGAAAGTTCCAAGTAAAATTAGTAAGACTAGGCATACAACACACATACACCTGTATTTACATCCAAAATGGATACAAACAGGTTTTTTTTAAAATCAGAACTAGTACGTAAAGCAGAAGTCATAATGCATGACAATATTTTGGGACCTAATTTAGAAACATCCAAAATGACAGTCAAGTTCTATCACTGTTTTTGCATCATTAAAAAAAAACCCAACAAGTAAATGAAACAGAATTATTTCTATATAGTTGATTATTCTAAATATGACTACAGGTCAGGTCAAAATAATTGAGCTTTTTATATCTACCAGATTATGAAATCTCTATGGAAGCAAACGCAGCATAGCACAGGTAATCAACAGTAACCACTGCTGGGTATTTTTTCTTTACAAATCTGATCTTTTTTGACACGAGATCTTTTCTACTATTATTATAATATAAAGGCCATGAGTGAACACTTCTGCTAACTGGGAATTTTAAATTTCCTGATGGGTTCTAGTTCACATGTGAGAAGTAAAATCACAGCCATGGCACCCAATGAGAACAGCCTTTTCTAGAAAATACTAAGTATGCATGGAGCAGACAAGCAAAAACCATATGGCATTTGTTTTGGAAATGGTTATTCAGTTACATTATATAACCTTGCTCTGGGCATCCATAGGTCCCATATGCAATTTTGCTTTCATGGAAGATGACAAATCTGTATTTTGGATTAATACACATGCCCTTTTGTCATTCAGCATCTGACAAGTATGGTAAATCTAACAAAGCAAGCCATGCGATCATAGGAACTTGTGTTCACTTTCTAAGCAACAAAAAAACCCCAAGTCAGATGAAGAGAGAGAAAAGCATTACAGTACTAGTTGAAGGCTTTTTTCAATAATAAAATTAATTTCCAAAATACACGTAATATATTTTGCTTTTGCGCACTGAGTAGTTTTCACTCAAGTCTTTATTCTTGGATTAATCTTATTAATTTGTATTATGGTTCTTACTTAGGAAGATAGGGCAAGAAAATTAAGAAAATTAATGCTGTAAAAAAAACCTCATGCTTTTCCTTTCCATGATTTGCTTTTATTTTGCTTAGTGTTTTAAGAATGTCTGATGATGGGTTTCGTGCAGGAACTAAGGATAACAGAATCAAAACCTACTGAATTTCAGGGGATCTTCTTGCTCTAATAGGGGCATTTGACATGTGCTCATGACATGAAAGGCTTTCACCCAAGCTGACCATGCATGCTCCTCACATGACCAAAAAAGGCAACCAATTGACATGTTTAACTATATTTCTTCCCCCTGTAACTGTGACAGTGAAATCCATCACTTTGCTTGGCCTCAGGTCTGTGCAGCAATGGCTCATATACCCATACTCAGTTGCTCCTGAATTCCCCATGTCTTTTACTGCACCACTCTGGGGTTGGCAGTCTGTAACACAGAATGAATTCACTTGTGGTCCCTCCTTGGAAGGCAGTTTTACTCCAGATTCCTTAAGTAATGCAGGAAAGACATAAACAAGCAAAAAGCATTAAAACTGAGCAATATTGCCATATTACAAGCATTTTCCTTAGAAGCATCTTTTTTAACAACAAAGAATTAAAATTCTGTTCATTATTGGTGGCGATGAGGCTTTCTTACCTCAACACATTCCATTGCTTCAGATATTCTCCCTTTCAAATCTGCAGAAGAATCATGACTGTGGTGCTGGAGATCTCTCACAACTATGTCAAAGTGATTGCCCTTCAGCTGACCAAGTCTGAGGTGCTGGTGTGCCAAACGTATGTTGTGTATTCTCATGCCTTTTTTTTCCATTTTGCTTCCAACTTCTTTCAACCTGCATAAATAACAGGGAGAAATTATGAACCACCCTCTACTAAAGCTACCCACCTTCTAATGAATGTCTTCTTCGCCTTCACACTACAATTAAAAACACTTCAAAAAATAAAAAGGGATGTAAAACAGATTATTTAGTGAAAACCAAATCAAATGCAGAGACAGAAGTCTTAAAATTTAGTTACAATCCATAAATACTTTTCAAATGTTTGCATCATTTGCACTTTTATGATATTGACAGATACTGGAATGAAACAATTAATTGTTCTCAGGGCAACTGCACTGAATTTTTGAATTTTTTTTAAGAGAAAAACTAGGCATTTATTTACTCTCCAGTCCTAAAAACCTTCTTTTGATTAAAAAAAGAAAAAAGAAAAAGGAAAAGTAATGTGCTCTAGCAGACTTCAAAACACAATTGCTCTTTCTTGGCCAGCCTTAACAAAAACAAACCCAGTGCACTGATTCTCTGGGTGTGCTCACACATGCTTGTAATTGGAAACACAGCTGACAGTTCAAGTATTTGCCCTTTAAAATATCCACTCAACCTCTGCGTTCTTATGTGTAAATAACAGTCACTCAAATCAAAGGAAACTTTCAACATAAGAACTTCCATTCTAAGCAATATTTTAATAACTTTATATAAATGGTTTATTTACAAAATTTATTTATTTCTCCCATTATGGTAGTGGCTGAGATGCATTTACCTGTTTTGCTTCATAATTTAAACACTAATGCAAAATTTTGCTAGTAATGTCTTGGACAACTAGCCTCACAACCCAGTTTGCAAATGGAATTTTATGACTGATACATATTTATGTTAGTAATTATGTAAAATTATTTGTAATAATTGTAATTATGATAAATACAGAGAAAGGCAACACTTTTCTTTAAATTCCTCTCTGGGGGACTTCAGTGCTAAGCAACATATTCCCTAAAGCCACAAAATATTAAAGCCATTTCCACTGTGCTCTAATACAGGCAAAAGGAAGACACATTTCAGTAAGAACATTTCAAAAGATCATACCACGTTGATAGTCATTATCATATAAAAAGATTTGCTAAACTGAATACACCCAGATTGTAAGTACCTCTCAGGAGTCACCTTCTTCACAACCATAGGCTGGTAAGTGATAGCCTTCTTATCTTTGATGCCAGTGTAACTGAAGTCTGAAGGAAGAACATCAAGCTGAGCCGCCAACAAGCCAATTGCTTCTAGTGTTTCTAGATTTTCTTTCTGAAGGGTGAAAGCTGAAACAATCATCTCAGAATTAATAGGAATTCACACTTCTAAATCATACAGGTGTTCTGCCACGACAGATGGACAGGTTCTTCCCTGCAAATTTTAAGACCGTGGAAACTGCAAAGGAACAGTCCTCCCACCCCACAAAACTAAAGGCAACGGGACTTTTTCAGTACAGAGAGAGAAAAATACACAGTACACAAAACTCTTACAGCAACCAGAAAACCCTTCTGCCTTTAAAAACAGTACCTGAAAAAAGGCAACACAATTCAACAGCTGTGCACTGATGTATTGCTAGAAACATTCCCTGTATCACAAACCAGATGCTTTTAGAAATGAGATCATAAATCAAATTTGACCTTACTAACTTGCCCAACATCTAGCTGCACCTCCTAAAATCCTTCAATTACTTTCAAGGAAAAACTAACACACTGGGAATACCACAGAGTTAGTGCTACAACCAAAAGAACTGTAACCATTATCACTGAACAGTTTATGTAAAATCACCGCAGTAACTTGACTCATCCATGTCATTCCCCAGTGATGTAACAACACTGTGTTGATAATGATTTCTTTCAGCATAAACCATGGGTCAATCAGGCCTGTGTGTCATGTAAAAATGATTCCAGGTTTCAGTCTCACTACAGAACACCATAACACCTGTCACCTTTCCTAGAAATGTAGTATTTACCTGTATAAACATCTTGATTTCTCTGGAAACCACCAGCAGACCTTTTTCTGGACCAACTTTTTTCCCGAAATCGCACCATTATTGACATATTTGGCTGATCATTGACATCTGTCACAGTAAAAGACTTTGTTTCTAAAAGTTTACCAAATTTTCTATTGATAAAATGGTGAACTACTTTTCTGTGCTCTTTGTCTCCATCAGGCTCAAAAGAAAACGTCGAATTTTCCAGCTTTGCATCTAAAAATTTGAAGAAATCACTTGTTTCCTTTTCAGTCACCAACTGACAAAGTTCTCTGTAATCAGCATTTCCTTTTACAATCATTTCATTGTCTTTCGTAACAGTGACTAGAAAGGGGAATTTCTGCCTCACAGCACTGTGTAAATCAGCTCGAATTTTCTTGTTCAGCCTAGGTCCTAGCGAGAACTCCCTCGTGCCAGCACCTGCGTTATTTTCCAAGCGCCATGCATCCTTCAGATCACAAGCAAATTTATTTAGCAGTTCGCTCATGGGTTCGCCGAGTAAGGAATCCAATGCACTGGCTTCCTCAAGGCCAAGTTTCAGCTCAGGTGCTCCCTCGTGCTCTTTTTTGCCATGGGATGCAGCACAGCAGCCCTCTGCCTGGTTTGGGTCGTGCTCTGGAGGCCCAGGGGCAGCACTCTGCGGGTACACAGGGGCACACATGCCAGGGGGCTCTGTTCTCTGCTTTTTGGGCGGCTGCAGGCACAGGCTGCTTTGCTCCAGCAGCACTTCACTGGTTTCCTGAAGCAATTCAGGCCGGGTGTCCCTAAGGAAGTGTTCAGGCACCTCGATTTCTGTCACTACGAAGTCACTCGGAGAGTTTTTGATGGTGCCGCGGAAGCCAATGTGCTCAGTCAGGTAACTGAAGGAAGGCAGCATAGCTGCTGCCCCTCCCTGCTCCAGCCACACTGCTGCACCTGCAACCAGAGGGGAAGAAGAGGGGATAGCATCAACTGCTACAGAAAAGGCTGCTGAAAGGCAGGAAGGGAGGGACAGGTGCAGGGAGGCAGGCAAGGAGGGATGGACAGAAACATAGAATCTGAAAGACCTTTTAGATCATCAAGTCCAACAATTAACCTGTCACTCTGCTCTGATGTAGCCCCTAAACCGTTATCTTCCAGTGCCAGATCCAGATGCCTCTTAAACACTTCTAGGGATGGTGACTCCACCACCTCCCTGGGCAACCTATTCCAGTGCCTGCCCACCAAAACAGTGAAATTTTTTTTTCTAATACCTACTCTGAATCTCCCGTTTCAGCTTATGACCATTCCCTCCAGTCCTCTCACTGCAGGCGTGGCAGAAGAGATCATCCCTCACTGCTCTACAACCCCTTTCATACAGCTGTAGAGAGCCATGAGGTCACCCCTGAGCTGCCTCTTCTCAAGGCTAAACAAACACAACTCCCTCAGCTGTTCCTCATACAATGTGTGTTCCAGACCTTTTATTAGCCTTCTTGCCCTTCACTGAACTCGATCCAATGCCTCAATGTCCTTTTTTAACTGAGTGGCCCAAAACTGAACACAGTACTTGAGGTGTGGCCTTGCTAATGTCAAGTACACGAGGATGATCACTGCTCTACTCCTGCTGGCCACACTATTCTTGATACAAGCCAAAATGCCATTGGCCTTCTTGGCCATCTGTGCACACTGTTGGCTCATATTGAGCCGCTGTCAATCAGCACTCCCAAGTCCCTTTCTGATGAACAACTCCCAAACCACTCCTCCCTCAGCCTGTAGTGCTACGTGGGGTTGTTGTGTCTCAAGTGCAGGACCTGGCACTTCGCCTTACTGAACCTCATGCAGTTAGGCATAGATGCAGTGAGGCAGGCAGGGAGGGAGGGAGGCAGGAAGGATGGATGCAGGAAGGAAGGGATGCAGGCAGGCAGGTATGCAGGGAGGGAGGGATGCAGGGAGGGATGCAGGTGGGCAGGGATGCAGGCAGGTTGGGATGCAGGCAGGGAGGGATGCAGGCAGGGAGGGATGGATGCAGGCAGGGAGGGATGAAGGCAGGTAGAGAGGGATGCAGGCAGGTGTTTGGGATATAATCATGAGTGGGGTTGGACTCTGACAGGGAGATTGAGATTGAAAGATGGATGGAGGGAGGGAGGGAGGGAGGGAGGGATGGAGGTGGTCAGGTATGCAGGCAGGTTGGGATGCAGGCAGGGAGGGATGCAGGCAGGGAGGGATGAAGGCAGGTAGAGAGGGATGCAGGCAGGTTGGGATG